TAAGTACTCACCTCAGTCGAAGAACCCATGATCACAAGCCACTGCGGATTAACCGCTGGTATGCGCATTTACTGAACTATGATTTTCAAATCACATTCTGCTTTAGTTCCGAAAACCATATGACAGATAGCTTATCACGTCTCCCATTGGATGATTCCGACAAGAATGAAGACGACGAAGAAAAAGTCATAGTTGCCGCTTTACATTCAAGTAAGCTTTCCGTTGTAACTAAGCAAGAGCTTCAAGAAGCTAACCAAAATGACCCAAATGTACAAGCCGTTTTCCGCTACCCCTCTCAAGGCTGGCCTCGCTAAATGAAGCTCAGTGGTGAACTACGGGCGTTTTATGTTTTACGGCACGAATTAGCGGTCATTGATGGTCGCCTTATGCGATGATCGAGATTCGTGGCTCCACAGAAACTAACGTCAAAAATTATCCAATGTGCACACAAATGACATCAGGGTATCGTACGAACGAAGCGGCGACTGCAACAACACTTTTGGTGGCCGTAAATGACTAAAATGGCAGAGGCGTGTGTCCGGTCTTGCGATGAGTCTCAGAACGCTGAGAAGAGCTCTAAGCGGATTGATACACCCATCCAACCTATCGTTTATCCAATGTAACCTTGGTCGAAGGTGGTGATTGAGATTATGGGGCCATTCCATTCTGCACTGCAGCACCAGAGAAACTCTTCAGTGGCCACGTGCTTTTACAGTAAGGGGTCTGAGATTCACCTTTATGGCGGTGTGAATACCAATCGTTATAAGGTGGCCGAAGCATCTGTTTGATAGATTTTGGCTTCCAGAAGAAATTGTGACTGACAACGGACCGCAATTCACAAACTACGAGTTCCGACATTTCTTCCAACTTCACGATGTGAAACACGTACGAACTGTCCCGTGCAATCCAGCTGCCAAGGGAACGTTTGACCGCACAAATCGCTCTCTAAAGGAAGGTATACAGACAGCAAGTTTGTCCGGCATGCATTGAGAAGATGCCGTAGTCGAGGCTCTGTTTATTCACAGAACGTCGCACCACAGAGCGACCGATCGCACGCCAGGGGAACGAATGTTCAGCAGGAAGCTACATACGAAGTTAAACGCAGCTATTTCGGCTACCGAATACAGCGAACCCCACCCACTGGAGCGTCGCCATGTTAGTATTCCTCTTACGAAAAGCAACCCATACCGTTGCGTCCCGGAACGTTAGTCCGGCTAAAGGAAAGGTAGACACGTAAAGGGCAGTCCGCATTATCGCGCCCCATTAGAATTACTCGGACATTAGGGCCAGGAACCTATATGCTTGCGGACGGCCGCCGAGTTAACGCCAGACAACTTTACTCAACCCTTCAAGCGAACGCATTGTCCAGAAAGTGGTCCAAAGCAGTGGGCGTAGCAGCTCAATTGTCACTCATGCTGATGTGCTCATTTAGGGAGGGGATGATGTGGCCCCTATCACAACTTCCAGCCATGTCTGTCACGCTACGTACCGCAGACTGCAAATGATTGGATGAGCGTCATCGATGGATTAGTATCAAGGTCATTATGCCTGTACCTTATACACTGTATCGAATAGAGGGTCAAAGCGTGTCTGTTCCCTTGTTCTGCTTCCGTTAGTGGGTTCGGCCGTAGTGCTTCAAAACCTTGCTTTCGCTGGGGTCTAGTGTGCGTATTGGGACACAACAGCTGGGTTGTGATATAACTTGCAGTTCGCTGGTAGACACTTTTCGTTTGGATCTCCGCGAGCTAACGTTGCATCCGTTTTTAACCTTCCTACTAGATACATGAGCAACCAGCTTCCGTTTGTCTTGGATCTTATTTTTGCGAAATCACAAGATTTCGTAAGTGATGTTACATACGGTTGTCCTCTAGGGGCCAGTGACTGTCTGCAAATCCTTTCGATGAGTTCTCTTTATGTAGCATCCGGTCACAACTGGGGTATGCCCAAATATTTGGTGGGCGGACTTCAACGCAATGCGAGCCAAAGCCTCAGTTCTGCCTTGTCTGATCTCCGTGGCCGACACTATTAAGGCAGCTTGGGAGAAATTTAAGGCATATTTCACCGAGATCTCTGCTCCCCACATCCCTCTCATGGAGAGAAGAGAAACATGGACGCTACCTCCATGGACAGATTTCGTTGGTAAATACCTACCCAAGAAGCGATCTAAGTGCTGGTGAACCTACCAAGCGGCCTCATCAACTGGCACCTACGAAAGCTATCGAGAAGTCAGAAATAAATATAAGCAACATCGCAGGACTGCTCGTCTCCAGGGTTTAGCTGACGCAGCCGCACCTATTCCTTAGAAGTTCTTTGCTTACGTAGAAAGGTGCAGCGGTGCAAACTCGTCTATACCGGCATTACTAAGACGGGACAGGTCCGGCGTGCATACGGATTATAATAAAGATTGCACTCATAGCGAGTACTATACTGGTGTCTGCTTATGAGACCTCCCTACCACAGGCTGAGCTGGTCCCATGAGTCTCATACGATTCTTGCCTAACTAAAATCAGCATAACGGTGACGCAACTCTTCGCGCTATTGCAACGGCTAAATCCTTCTGAAGCTTATGCCTTGTTTCAATTCCTTCGAAGCTGCTGCATGAATTGGCCGCTGAACTAAGTGATCCACTGATATGTATGTTTACAAAAGCGCTTGGTAGCTGTGTCTTACCTTCGAATTGGTAAGAGGCCATTATTCGTCCGATTTTTAAAGACGATGACAGTTATCCGCCCGCGAGTTTGACAAGCGTAGCTTTCCAAAAACTTTTGATTCTGTTCCTACCCCCTTTACAACTCTCACTGAAGTTGAGGTCTTACGGGATGTCTGGTGATGCTTTTAAATGGTGACTGTTTTCTTGGAGGGAACCGTTTGTATGCACGGGCAAGTTGTTCTTAGCAGCGTTCCTCAGGGTCGTTGCATTTCGCAATTTATGTCTATGATTTACCTCAGGAGTCTGTGGGACCGCCGCCATTGTTTGCTGATAACCTCAAGCTCTGGAATAGTGTGGGCATCCCCGGAGGTTCTGTGGCAGTTCAGAATGCATTAGGCAGTCTCTGTGGATGATAAGCTTATGGCTTGCAACCAGCGGTCTCCTCATCGGAGTAGCTAGCCCTCCCACTAGCTACGTTGTTAACGTAGGAGAAATTCCTTTAATCACTTAGCATATTGATCCAGGTGTCGTCCGCACATCAGCTCTTCACTTTTTGCATAATTGGAAGAAGGCTGCTTGTAGAGGGTTTCGTACGATGTGGTCTATTCTGTGTTTTTTCGAATGCTTAACGGACGATATGTTTGTGAAGCTTTTCCTAGCTTTTGTGAAATCTCACGTAGAATACTGTGTCCAGCCTTGTCTACCATATCTTGTAGGGGACAAAATAGAACTGGAGAGGATTTTATTAGTGGGTACAAGGTTAGTGCAGGGTTTATGAGGACAAACTCATCTGAAAGTTTGCTTAGCTCGGGGATGTACACAATATGGTACCGAAGAATTAGAGATTTGATCCTCAGTCGCCGTATTCTAACGGGTAAGATCGGACCAGACCTGTCCTGGCTATTCACTCCCGCTAAGCTGCCTAGTCTCCGCAGTCACCAGATAAAACTGCAAACACTGTATTCTGATCCGGTTAAGAAGGAAACTCCTTTGTTGCGCCGAGTTATTCAAAGTTGGAACTCGCTTTCGGAGCACGTGGTTAGGGAATCTACGTTTGATAGTACTAGGAGAACAGCTATTAGACATTCATTTATTGTGAACGAGCTTGATAGCTATTCTTTACTCTTCCTATCATCTAGTTCTTGACTGTTGTTTAAACGCTCTACTCTGGGTTAGCCCGATTGGTACAACCACGTCACTGTAAATGGACGCTCGCTTTACGCTTGGAGTCCAATGATGCTATTGTTAACGACATGAGCGATTCACTCTTGAGTACACGGTTGCTTATTCGCCGTTGCATTTTACGTTTTTCCTTCGGTTGGTTGGCTCAAGTGTACTTTCCCTTCCCTTTCCTTCATTTTGCCCTCAAAACTATATAAGCAACCGTGATTTCATGTATACAAGTCTCTTTCTGGCTCGTCTTGGACTTCTTGTGGTCGTGGGGCGAAGGCGTCAGTTGCGATACAACTGATAGTTTCGTGAGTCAGTTAGATACACTTGGGTGTCAATAACAAACCTCGCCATTCTCCTAACCGAATTGTATCTCCAAAATTTTCCTGTTTATTTTTCCAGTTCCTCTCATGAGTTGGTATTAGCATTATCCAGTTGATATTCTTCTTCATGTACTCTTGCCTAATTCACTTGATCCTTCCGGTAGTGACAGTTGGGGCAGGAGATGTATGCAGCAACTGGTTGGCCAGGATGTGTCGCGGTCTTTGTTTTAGGTATATCAAAATAGCAATTTGATCTATCAGTTCTTGATACAACAATACGCGGAAGTAGGAACGTTCACTGAACTGTCCTATTGTTTCTGTCCCATCTGATTCGGCAAGTTCGCAATACGCAGTGGTTCACTATTTCCTATTGTCATTTGTGCCGTTATTTTGCTCACCCCCAACCGATCATCCGGCATGGCATGTTAAGCTTCGGCTTTTTTATCCGCAATATATCATTGATCATTGAACATAAGGTACTTTTGCAGACCACCGGACGGCTGTGGCAATCCGATGGCATCCGGAGTGAAGCAAAGTGGAACGCCGGTACCAGTTACCGTCGTTGCTGTGTCACTGGCTGTTGTGTAGCCCCCGACTGGTTCCAGCCCGCACCGTAATGAGAACGCCAAAGACCAGCCGAAAGGAAACTGTAATGCGTTGAAATACAGCGATATAAATCGGATGAAGCTAGGCAATATGGAAGATGTTGATTATTGGCAATTAACACTATTCAAGCCGGTACAGTTCTGAGTTGAACTTTGCTGTTGAACTCCACATGGATTAACATTCAACCTCCCATTATATGCGATCTCCTGAGGGTCGATCGACCCGTAATTCGCTGGACTCCTATCCTTAACACTGGCACCAACATTTAACTATGCCAGCAAGCGCTGCTTGAGTCAGCATGAAGCTACATTTGAGTCTGCTTGCAACTTACCGCAAAGCCTCACAAAGTAAACGTGCTCATTTCGCGGAGTCAGAGGATATACCAAATGAGTCATCCATTCCTATGTTGTCTGAAGTGGACAGTGGTCTTCCACTCTGTGAGCGATTGTCACTCCATATACAAGGTAAGGCGTAGGGCAGCAAACTATGGTTGATTGCTCCGGAATTGTGAATGTCATTCCAATTAACCAAATGTTTGCTTCTGTCGTCCTTGGAAGTTGTGAGCGAATCTAAGGAGGACTGAGCTGATTCTCAGCGAAGGGTTTCCTCATAAGTCACATGCTCCCGCGAACTGGAAAAGGATACTTATTTCTAATAGTACTCTACAATAATTCAAATCCGTACGATCAAACGACGAGCATTGGAATTACGAGTGTACCGGAGTCCACCCAGTGTTTCTGGGCAGCAAACTTGAAAAAATATTCGCGATCATCCGCTGCGAAGTTACCGCCACGTCAGATGTCGCGTGGACCATACCATTGGTTTCGTCGCGTCTGTAAAAACCGGCCTGCTCGTTCGCACGTTTTTGTGTACATTTCCCTCCCCTTCTCCCATCTCGTAGTCCCATGGTAAGGACAGTATTGGAACAGTGGGGGGAAATGGCAACTCGTGTACACACAGATGCATCAACTCGTTTTCGTTTTGGATTCGTCAAGCCAGTGCGGACGTGGGCACGTTAACAGCGAGCTTGTGTCACCGGTGCGAGATGTAGCTGCATTTATACACATGCACATACACACAAATGAATTTTGCATTTTTTCGCACACAGAGGGAGGGCGCTCCGTCTGCAAGGCACAGCACGTGTGTTTGTATTTGTGTGTATGTGTGTGCCCAAGAGACTGCAGATAGTATGGAAAATGTGCCATAGTATTAGTGTGGTCACGAGTTGGAGCATGGACGCACAGGCTTGAAAGCCACTCCACCAACCGCGAACATCGTCAACGCCACCACGACATCACCAGAGCGTTAGCGACAGTAAGCGTGGGAACGCGAGCGTGGGAACTGATGGCCCGGACAGCTGCAGACCTATCGTTTGTTTTCGGTAGAGGTTCTCACGCTTTTGCGCTGTCATTGTGTGCACTGCACCTGTGTCGGTGTGTGTGAGTCTGCACACAAAGAACCAGGTATAAAACAAAACGTGGGCGTGTCTGCGTAGCTAATGCAACAAATACCCAGGCGTGAGTGCACTACGCGGCCTTGTGTCAGTCGGATGCCGGACAGCTCGACATTGAGTACGGGCGCCCCGCCACTAGTCTCAGTGACTTCTTTACTTTACTGTTGAACTCACTTGAATCGGTTCATGCCGCTGTCCACACGTATGCAACAACCCAACTTGTCCAATTCGACCGATACCAAGGCGGATGATGAACATCAAGTGATCCCAAACAAACGACCTCGTTGTGTTACTCCCTTTCTCAACACCGGTCTGGCGCAACAGACAACTGTAAATCATTCAGATGGTATCACTAGCGGCCTGGGCTCGCATCTAATAGGACTGCAACCGGAAATCACGTTTCGTATGCTGCTAGACGCTGATCTCTCCGCCACTGTCGGTGAGATTGCTGAGAAAGAGAACGTACACGATCGTTCGCCTCAGATGGGTGACTCATTCAATGAGCGAGTGAGTGCACCCACTTGCAAACTAGAGCAACCAAATTCTTTGACTTTCTCCACAGCAAAATGTGGCATCACTCCGACTATGGATTACAAACCTGTGGACCATTTCTCACGTGCGTTAGATCAAGCGGACAGTAACATGTACGGATGTAAAAGTAAGTTGAAAGCATCGCTGACTTGCTCATGATTGCCGTTCCTTACAAAATCTCGCCTGGAATTGGATGTTTGCCCGGTTTTAGTAAACCTAGACATTTTCAGACGGGGACTGGAGTGCGGATAGATGCACAACTTTTTTGAACTTAAACGCACGAATGTCTGTCCTGTTGTCTTACTTCGTACTTTAATCGGTGCCGCAGACGCATTTTTGCTCGGGTAAGTGATGGTCGAATCGGACTTTGAGAAATTGACTTTATAATACATATTTCCGGTTTCTTTTTGTTTCTGTGTCGGCTGACCTGTCCAGAAGTGTTTTCTGAAGCAACACTACCGTTTACAACTTCCCACAACTAAGGGGTCGGGACTCAAGGTCGCTCATTCATTTCATTGTTTAGATGGAAGCGCTGGTTTCCACCTACCTACAAGTTGTTTTATTTATCTCCTTTTGAAGTGTCTAGTTCTCTTTCCGACAAGTTGTCTAATGGGTATTCCTCTACACTCCCATATGCATGCCAGCATGGTGTGCGCTTTCCGAGAAGCGGCACGGCTCGGTGATCAAAGGGCTGCTTCGCCGGATATCAACAGGTTTGCTTGCCGCTACACGGAATCCGCAAGAGGGACGTACGCTGTCACTTTCGCTGCCACTGTCACTAACGCGTTTCGATGCACACATGCGTTCCTCTTCTCGCCCAATGGGCTTGTCTGTCTGGACACAACCGTGTGCCACGCAAATGCTGTCGGGAAACGCCAAGGCCGTATGGTGCTACCGCAGCGTTCGCATCGTCACTGGTAGCAGACAACTTCTGGCAGACAGCATTCATCGCTCAGTCGACCGCTCAAGTCAGCTGAAATGTGGACGCGCACAGGGGTGAATGTGGACGACACAGAACGGTGCTGAATCTGACAACCAACTTATTACTTGACATTATCATCTTTGCTCCGGTCTGCACCATATGCACCTTCACAAGTAGGTAAAGGCACCACTTACCTGTCAAATGCTTCATCTGATGATATGACCGAAATGCATCTCTCGCATTTCCCAAGGTCATCCGTCGTTGTGGCAGCGCTATCAAGGCCCCCACAGTGCAGCGGTCCGAGCACTATACCCACAAATCAGGCCCCCTGCTCGTTAGCGGTTTCAACGCCTACCATACAAAATAGTTCTTCGCGGCAGTTACTTGATCGTAACATGCATCGCGCCAATTCTAGCAGTGGCACTACCGGCCACATAGCTGGATGGGTGTGCGGTTTGTCGTAGCTCCATTTCCACTTGTTCGTTACTTTTATATGCCTTAGTCATACGCAGACGTTGCAATATGTCACACTTCTTTGAACAGCCATTCGCGGTCCGCAGTTAACGTATTGTACCACTTGTTTTTGGGATGTCACCATCTCAGTTGGGAGTGGCACATTTCATAGGCACCAAATACCCAACCGCATTCATGAGCTCTACCGTTTTGCGTTGCTACCTGAGCTTCTCTGCTACGGTTACTCGCCCTTACAGTCGGCTAGGTGTGGTAAGGCTTTGACTGCTTTCAGCCCGAAATGTCCTTCTGGAGTGAATTCTAATGGTAACTATCCCATTGCCGCGCTATATTTTCATACTGAACAACCTATCACTCCCCTGTTTGTGTTCGCTACCAAGTCGGCCTTTGACGAGTGTGTTTTTCGTTGACATTCATGGAACTAGGTATGGTTTATAATAAGGCTGTGGTCGCGTACGCCCCAAATTATGCCTGTCTCGACTGTTTTTGTGTATCTACGGGGAAATGTCACGTCAACCGCGGACTCCAGACGTGACATAGTGCATCTATCCTCGCTGACCTTGCGGTCTGACAATCCGTCCATCCGGTCTGCACAGCGCGCTGGTGGGTTTTAACAGCGTGAACAGGTTCCGTTGAAGCAATTGCACTAGTTATGCCAACGTACACCATGTGCTCTTTCACTGACTATATTTACTCGGCTCTGGTGACGAAGGGTTTGGGCTTAGTGCTCTATCCACAGTATGATGCACTACACCTCGGAAACACGACTTGATGTGCCAGTACAATGGGCCCAAACAGCTTTTTCAGCCACCGCGTGAGATGGCCGACAAAAAAGCCACCCACAGGCGCGTCGGATGCGCCAGCAGTGTATTGTACGGCACGGCCATAGGCTCGCTTCCACCTACGGGAGGCGGTTGTTCAGATGCCGATCGATTTCTCTGCTACAATGCACATGTCCGGCCTGTCAGGTCACGCGGTGTGGGTAGTGTGGCGCTTATGGGTGACGCGTTTGAGTCACCATTCGTGTACCACAATCCAGTCGCTTACTCGATTGGCCGACTGGGTTAAGGTCATTTGTCTGGTGCTCCCCTCAGTGAGCCTTCGTGCAATGCTCTTCGAACGTTAATGGTGCCCTTTGCACGGGACTGAATGCTGAGACCCCCCACATCTTAAGGGTTTCGGACACAATCGTGAAACCTCTCTGCTGTGTTACGTGTCGGCTTGTACCACATCTCAGCTATTGGCAGATGCAGTTGGGCAATTGCCCCGCAAAATGCAGCAGCGAATTAGCTATTACACGTGCTAGCCGCAACATCTACTCCTGTGCTTCTGACTGGTAACATATAAAAGAAGGCGGAAGCAGTTATTTAATTCGGGAATCACTCCTGACAAGTCACCCCTTCCCCTGCCGCCAAAGCCGTGTGGGGCACAGAGGGAGCCGGGAAATACAACATGATATTAGGTTAGATAATGTCCACTAAATAATACGATGGGGGCTTTCGTCATACAGTTACTTTCACAACTACTTCGAGACGATGCTGGCACCCTAAATTGTACCAGCTGTACACAAGGAACGATGATGATGTTGATGCTATCCCAAGCTAGGCGCATAGAAAGTGGCTTTTTACTTAGCTGAACCCTTATCCTCTATTACTGCGATACAAAATTTATAATTACTCTTTATGCACCAACCGAAGATATCCATCTTTGGTTTCTTCCACTTATCGTTTCACATACATACTATTGCCCACTTGCTTATCATCCGGTAGAGTACACATTGTGCGTGGATGTGGTATTAGGGTGAACGGCAGTGTTGATAACCTGTGCGGAACCGTGGTGTAGGTGGCCACTTAATGTCTTAACATATGAATGTGGAGTCTGCCTATCGATGACTGAGGGGGTCTGTCACCGTCAGTTGTTTACGTGCTACCACTGATCCACATGGCTGCAATTTTGAACACGCGACAACAATAGGCTACACCCAGATGGGTAGCGCATCTCATCACTACATATCACTTTTGTCCATTCATGAACGCGAGTGGTGTATGCTAGTCATTAAACCGCCACTACTTGTGAACCATGCTAAATCGTAGCACCTTTCCATTGTTCAGACCATTCAATTTGACTGTCCCTCGCACTATCGTGGAATGTACCGTTTATTTACTTATTTATCTAATGGTGCCCGTAGGCGGAGTGAACTTTTCGCGGTCGGCTAACCCACTGTGCTTCAATTCGGCTCATCGTGGCCTTTTACCCCGTCAAATCCCTTCGTTATCCCCCGCACTATTTAGGGCGCTGTTGACCGTCATTCCCTAACCGCTTACTTGTAACAGTCCTCTGGTTCACTTTCATGTGTTTGCAAGTCCATCTTTCCCCCCCTCCCGCCTATACACTAAAGGACCGTTTTCTAAATGGTACTTCACTTATTTTATCAGATACGCCTAAATTGCATCTGAGTACCACTCAGGGTCGGGACTGGATTGTTTTTGACCATGGACCGATCCCGCCTTGAAAATAGCGTTGCATCGAGTTACTAAATCTTCCACTTCACATGTAGATTGAGTCTGTACTAACTGCGTCTCGGATATCCTAAGCACGTGTCCGGTGATTTAGTAAGGGGATAAGGTACAGGACAACCGTGCATAGACCTTCAGTAGCAACCCGACTTTAGACTCGCTTGTTATATCATTGAAGACTTCGAGCGAAGACGGTAGCGTCTCACGCACCATATCTGGGTGCTCCGCAGTTGAGTTTTAGTAGTCAACTATAAGTTAGCCCGCCATCATTGGAACCTATCGGTCGGAGATTGCCGAAACCGTGCATCTTTCGAGCGGTAGTTTTTTGTTATCCACCTTTGTTACCACGGCTGTTTTTCACTGTCTTTCACTTCTACATGTTGTGATCTACCCGCCTGCTCAGGCAAGTAAAGTGAGTTACCAACTGGTATCTTATCAAAGACGTCTAAAATAGTGCTTTACCTAGGCGTAAACCACAATTATTTCCAATCCATTCTGTTTCGTTTCCATATATCCCAGTGCGTTTCTGGGATCAGCCCCATTTGCATATGGTATCATCGGGGTACGTGCTTTTATCTTCTAAACCTCGACCATTGATGCGTCGGAACGCATTGGCGCTCCGTATTTCGAGGTACATTTATTTATCCTAAGTGTGTGAATCAAGGATCAGTCACTAGGTGGACCGCTCTGTCCCTCACTCTATACCCACATCCCCAGTGTTATCCTGCCATTATCCATATAAGTGCACTCGGTCAGTCTTATCATTTGCCTCTCGAACACAAGAGTTTCCTTGAAGATCTACTTAGATTACGTACGTAATCATGATAGAGAAACGTGGACAGACATATTGAACAGAGAACAGAATACAGCTTAGGGAGTCGAGTTGGAAGATAAGCAGCTCGTAGCAAACTAGGGAATGGTTCCAGGTTCACATTATGGCATGAGATCTCTTGAACTATCTGAGCCCAGTCCTAGGCCTTTATCCAAAATGACGCCAAGCACGGCTGAAAATCCATCCCTCATTGGTGCAGGGAAACACATTCTTGAGTTGACTGGACTCAGTCCTTTTGTCATGTTTATTCCCTTGGTTGATTTCAAGTATATTCGCAAAAGGTGTTGTTCCTACCCTGCTCTTTTGGATTGCATGCCTTTGATTGTTCGCTCTCGATCTGTGACTACTATGATGACAATGTTACCCCCACTGTGCTGGCGCATAAG